ATATATACTGTATATATTATAGGTATAAAAATAAAATGTAAATATTTAATTGTGAAAAGCTCTTTTTCTTCCTTAACCATCCTTTTCATGACCATAAATGTATTCATGTTATTGATTATAGGGCTGTATTTAAAATTTTAATGTGAATATTATGTGTGTGTATGTTTAGTGTTTCTACCAGGCTGTTAGAATAAGCATGAAAGTCACTGTGATGAGTATTTACTCCAGTCTGCTGGTCTTCTGTAGGGACTTTGCCTTTGTGGCCAGTGATAAAGACACCTGCATGCTCAAGTGCCATGTGTTTCGCTGCAACGCTCCAGCCAAGACCATTGCATCTGCCCTGCATGAGATGTGCTCCAAGGTAAGATCACACAATCCTGTGTAAATTGTATTTATTTAATAATAATTAACATTAGCATAAACATAAATTAACATAATTTCGTATTTAAAATTATCCAGATTTCAAAGACAGTAGATTACAGCTTTACATGATTGTCATTGGTATGTTTCTACAGATCATGGCAGAGAAGGCAGCACTGCAGCCCTCTATGGCCCGTTCTCTCACCATGGAGAGTATCTCCCCAGAGGACTTGCCCCGCCAGGGTATGACCTCTGCAGTCTTTTTGAGAAAGCGGCATCTCTTTAACTCTAATGGCATGGTTGACTCTACTATTGTATTCTTTCATGAGACTTGAGGTGTTTGTGTGCGTTCCAGTTGACTTCCTGGAAGCAGTGAGGCAAAGGGTGCAGAAGTTTGAAGTGGAGTACATTGGAAACCTGCCTGTTTCCAGAGCAATGGGTGAGTGGGATTTGGGCCATTCAGATACCTAATAAACACGTTACACTTTATGAATGAGTATTTGTATTTACTTGTGGCTTTCCTGTAAAACACAGAGCCACTGAAGGTGAATATTTGCAATCCAAGCTATAATAGGACATGTTTTGCATGAAATATGTTGCTTTTGTTTTTGATTTGTGTGTAGTTAAAAGCTGTAACTGGCTAGAGGGTAGAGTAGCTTCCCTTGTGAAAATTTATTTGTATTTGTTGACTATACGCTCTGTAATACTCTTACAATACTCTAAAACTAAGACCAAATACTTCATGCTTGGCATATGATAGTATCCTGGCCCTCAAGTTTGAATTAAAATGTCACATTTAAAGCATTTTCAAAGTGTCAAATATGTGTACAAGTTTCCAACAGATTGTGGATCCAATTTAGACCAGTATCGAACAGTTTTAGGAGTAAATACTTTCCCACTGAAGACCAGTTTTTTTAAGTTGGCTAGTAACGATATCTAAATCCAGGTTTTTAAACCAGGTTAATTGTTAGTTTGGTGGATAATGTATAGAGACCTGGAAACCCTAGCTTAAATGTCAAAGAAAGTCATGGCCTTCAAATATGACCCTGGTAGTGAAATATTTTCTGGGTTTGTGGTTGTTTTTTGTGTATATACTGACAGGAATGGAAGTGTTGAACAGAGCTATTGAGAGCATCATGCACTCCAGAGACAGAGATGAGTGGGAGCCGATAGTCATCCATGTGTCTGATACAGTTCTGTCTTTATGGAGAGGAGAGGTGAGAATATCTACTAATATTGAGGCTTTTTAGTGTACTCTATTTGAGTTTAGTTTGTACTGCATACTGTATTTCTTTTTAAGTATACAATGAATAATTTTTTATATTAGTATTTTTTACCCCTATATATACTTATATATACCTATATATACAGTATCTCACAGAAGTGAGTACACCCCTCACATTTTTGTAAATATTTTATTATATCTTTTCATGTGACAACACTGAAGAAATGACACTTTGCTACAATGTAAAGTAGTGAGTGTACAGCTTGTATAACAGACAGAATTTGCTGTCCCCTGGAAAACTTTAAATCGCATCATATGACCCCTTTAATATAAACAGTCTTTCTGTTTTTACTTTTTCTTTCCCATTTGCTTTATTTCAGGATGGAGATGACCCATTTTGGGAATGCCAAGTACGTTACTTGACTTTCCTAGGTGTGGGTCATGACACACACACTTTTGCTGTCATAGTGGATGCAGGAACCCAGCGCTTTGAGTGCCATGTGTTCTGGTGTGAGCCAGATGCTGGGATCATCTCTGAGGCAGTTCAGGCTGCATGCATGGTGAGGCAATACTACATTTAACTGACTTTCACCCTACAAATATCACACACAGCATTCATAGATTCAGCATTGATATATAATTTAGTTCAAAATCTGTTAACGTCTTCTAAGTATTTCTGTTGTAAATGTATGGCGCCCCCTTCAGGTTCAATACCAGAAGTGTTTGGTTGCACAGACTCCTCCTGTGAGGTCCAAAATGTGGAGGGCAGGCTCCAAAGTCAAACGAGCCAACTCATTGGATAGCTCTAGCTTCCCACCCCGACACCAAGGACACACACCTTCCAAAATGGCCTCCCCCAGCGTGAAGAAGTGCATGCTGGCATTTTTTGAGACATTCCGGAATAAACATTCTGCAGTACCCACACCCTAACAACAGCAACTCGGGGAGGAGGATGGAGCCTGATGGGCTTTGAGGAGGGGGATATCAGGAGATGGAGAGATGAAAGGAATGAATAAACATGAAACCTAAAAAAGCTTGAGAAATATGAGTACCCTTTGCCCTTGGCATTTTAGAAAAATCCAACTTAATTTCCCCAGTATGACCTAACAAAAAACAACCCACCTAATTGCCCTTAATAATAAGAGTGTTTTAAAGTATTGACATATTTGAATGTAGGTGTGCAGAACAGTGTTTAAATGACATTGAGGTGCTGTGCTCTCACATTCCAAATACTGACAGAATGCTTTGCAATGTAAATGCTGTTATGCAACAGTTAGTTACTGTCCTCAAATGTGATTGGTACAAGGCTAATTTACACGGCACCGACAGACATTGTTAGTCGGGATTGTCTGTTGGCATCTAGGGATGCACGATATTATCGGACCAATATCGGAATCGGCCGATAATGGCTTTAAATATAAATATTGACTTCGGCCTATATGAAAAATTATGCCGATATGTCTTGCAGATAAGAGGAATACATTAACTCACATGTGCTCAGGGTGTGCTAGCGATTAGATCACGTCAGCATTGTGGCTCATTCTTGAAGCAAAGTTTTGGCTAAATGGTGATTGGATTCACTGTTTTGGGTCGCTGCATTTAAACTGAGAATGCATGTACAGAATGATGCGTTCGTGTGTGATAGAGTAAACAGTAATAGCACGTGCAGCGACAGCAGCCCCCGGGTCAATTTTATATATACGCATTTATTCATTAATGTGTAATATGTTATATTTTTTAAACAAATTATGAGCTCTAAAAGATTATCAGAATTTTCACAACTATTTTGCTTTAGACCATTTACAAATGTTAAATCATAAAATAAAATGTTAAAGTTACCACTGCATCTTTCTGAATTTTGTTTTTTTATTGATTAATGATTAATATATAGTTTATTTAAAATTATTTTCAAATCTTCAATGTACTGTAATTATAAAATAACTTTATTATTGTTTATTTAATTCTAACAAATAAGTTCTTGTTAAAAAAACTAATCACAATTTAAAATAATTATATATCGGTATCGGCCAAAATGAGTTGAAAATTATCGGCATATCGGATATCGGCAAAAATCCAATATCGTGCATCCCTATTGGCATCTGTTGGCTCTTGTTCTTGTTCAGCCTTTGTCGGATCATGGAAGAGAAGTGACACTGTAAACTGGTGATTGTCGGCGTTGGTGACTCAACTGTGTTGCTCAGCGACGCAAAGATTGATTCTGCTTGTAACTTTTTTCATTGGCTAGAAAAGTAACAGGCAATATTGTGTCTGAAAAGTAAGTTCGAGCTGTTGTATAAAAGCAATATCACACTTGCAGAAGAACAGCTCTATTGCACGGGTGATACTGCTGAAAAATGATGCAGATCCAACAACTGTGTGACTGAAAAACATCTACTAACCCTGGATGCCGTACAACCTCAGTATCAGAAATTAATCATATCAACAGCTAAAGCTTCTACGACCAATAGTATGTTGTGCAATAAGATGTATATTGCAGTTGAATCGAAATGTGTCAGATATTTTAGTAATGATGTACAGTGACCTAATTCTTGTATGACTAATATGTAGACAGTAGAGATTTTCCGTTTAGGTCACATTTATGTTCAAAAAGTAAATTTAGCTTCAAACCTACTAGGAGTGTCCGTATATATTAACAGTAAACGGTTTGTGAAAAAGGATGCTGTTTGCTGTTCAAATACACCTTTCAAATCAAATGAAGCGCAGAATATTCAAGGTTGTTACTCCATCTTGAGCAAACAGAGCCATTTTCACACACAACAAAGAGACCTCAATAACATAGTGCTATCAGTGCAAGAGTCGTGCTTTAGATAGACCCTGCTTGTGTCACTATCTTTATTTCTATTGTGAGCTCAGAAATGCAGATGAGGAGATATCAGTGATATCAGTTTTTACATTGCTTGTTATAATCTTTCCGGTTTGTGGAGTCCTCAGTTTAGTGAATGTAATAAGCTCTTTCAAAGCACTCAACCTCAGCGCATGTTGATCTGAGATGCCCACAGGCACCCACACGAATGCCACTGAAGGAAGTTATGTGATGCTATATCTACTATATGCAACTGCTCCCTTCCCTTCCCTTACTTAAAAAAAAAAAAAAGTATTATATCACAAATGAACTCAGGTCTCTTTAATGCTAAAACAAAGTGGGGAGTATAGAAGTGGACGACTCTTCAGCATGTAAGATCATTGACAAGAAGCCTTGAGAAGAGAGTTTGACTGATAGTCTAACGGTCATGTAGCACCTTGTGTTTCTTATTTTATTCCTATTTATACTCTGTAAAAAAAAAATCTCTATATATATTTGCAGTATTTCAACACAAAACTAGGATGTCATGTAAATGGTTTTGTATTATTCTTTGTGTTTGTTATTGTTGTTATTAATCAGAATGACATGCCGACCTGAATCCACCATTTGGAGTGTGTCGGGACATTAAACTGCTTGAAACTCTGGCTCTGTTGTCATTCATTTGTCTTCAGTGTCTTATACACCTGCTTTTTCCTCACCATTTCAGAACCCTCGATCTTCTCCTTCCTCTTGTTGAGGGGAAAAGTGTCCAGAACAAACAAATATATGTTATTATGTGTATTACTCCATTGCGTTCTTTCAGGTTAGAAGTCTTTGGCACTGGTACAATCCTCATTTCCTGAGATGGACTCCACTTGTTTTGCGTCCAGACTCTCATAATTATCTTTTAAATGGAGAAAAGATGTTTTACTTATCAGACATTTACTATAAAACAGCATAATTTCAAGTGTGAAAGGTCTTTGGTGTTAAAGTAGATTTGATTCCATTGTACAGATGCAAATTTACAAAATGTGTCCCAGATAAACAGCACATGTCTTTGTATGTCGCTCTATCAGATCATTTATCTCAGATTGTGCACTTACCCTCATTTCTGTGTATAAGAGATTCATACTGTTCTGTTTCGCTTTGTTCGAGCTCTGTGACAAAATAAAACAATCTCTTAAAATGTATCACAAAAAAAATACACTTTATAACTATACAAACTAGCTGTTTTTCAACATGAAGCATAAAATGGCACTTTGCAAGTTCTAATACTTTTAAAGTTACTTTTTGTGACCATCATGAATTTACTTAATATTGTTGCTTGCCTTTTTGGACTGTATGATCAGTCGTTTTTTCGGAATGTAAATTGTTCTCTTGCATCTCTGAATTATGTTGGTATGAAACATGGACACTGGAAAATTTATTTGATATGCAAATGCTGAAACATCTTTACATAAGAGGAATTCTTCTAGATTATAATGTAAACTAAATGAAGCAAATTAATAATACCTTAGTTTGAGATTAATGTGCTTCCAGTACAAGTAGAGAAAGAACACAGATGCGATGATAGCAAGCCACAGTGCTATAGAAATACTGATGAGAGGATCTTTGCCTGAGCAATTGTTCTCAACAGTTGCATTTTCTTCAATGGCAGAAAAATTCACTGGGCAATTGAACAAAAATTAAATTAAAAATTAAATTAATGTTGCCTTAAATAATAAAAATGTGCTATGGTATATGGCTGTTTAAAGCAAGGTGTAAATATACATGCACAGGGTCTTGAGTGAAATTAATACCAATTTAAAAACATTTAATTAATGTTGCCTTAAATAATAAAAATGCTATTATGTTGCTATGGTATACGGCTGTTTAAAGCAAGGTGTAAATATACATGCACAGGGTCTTGAGTGAAATTAATACCAATTTATGAATGCAGAACCAAGTTTATGAAATAAAATAAGTCTTACCTGGAGTATCCTGAGGCATTGTTCTTGGTGTCAGCAAAAATGTTAGAATATGCAATATATTAAGGTTCAAATACATTCAGTAACACAATAATGTATATGATACAATTTTCATTTGCACAGCAAAGTGCCAAGAGTGTGTGGGTGAAGGGTGTTAGTCTGCAGAGAGAAGGAAATAACCAAGAGGTTTTCAGATGACCTGTTGCACAGCATTCATGAAATGCCCCCTTTTTTTTAACTCTGAAGTCTACACCTCAAACACCTCCGTTTCCTGAGTTCACTTTGTTTTCACATGTAGCAACAACTTAAAATGCAAATAATTATTTACACTCAGCCTACTTCTGACCACGTTTGACTCTGGATAATATGTTGGGGTAGGTTTTGGGCAATGGTAGGCTAATTGTAATTAATAAATGGTTGAAAATGTATAATATGAAACTTATTTGATTACATGATTATACCTTTCTGTTCTAATATACCAGTGCTATATTGTAGCTCTTCTGAATGGTTGTTAGCTTTGCTTTAATGTAGCCTATTTAGCTATAGTTCAGGGGGGAAAAAAAAAAAAAAGTTGTTTGCACACGTTAGTGTAATTAGACGTTTGACTCAGTTATAAAAAATGAACTGAAATAAATTTCAATTGTCTTGAATGTCTAGCATTCATGCAACTATTTCGCACTTCTATAACTCGAGACTCTTGAGACAAAACGATCAGTGAAAGCAACGGCACATCTGAGCAGAACGATCTGTAGAAAACGGGACACGAGAACGGCCAGAAAGCAACTGCGGGGCGGAGAAGCAACGGAAATGGTCGAAGGTCATCCTTCTAGCTTTTACGGTTAGAAAGACACTTGAAAGAAATCGCGAGAAAACACTTCGGGTGCGAATAGCTGCTTGTTTGCGTTTCACAGCGGTGGCTGAATTTCTTCAGTTTTCCTTACTTCTCAAGCCTTTTGTTTAAACATTTTGTGGGTGTCTTTCGCGAACGGCTCTTGGCTTTTATACCAAACGATAATGTAAAACTATGGCATTTGTGTTTAGTATAATTACTTTGAATAATTTTTATATTTGTGCACACATACCAGTCATAGCTCAAAACATTGCTAAATATAGCTGAATTATAGTGTACTAAATGAAGAGCTGTTTGAGAGCCGAAAGAGTCGGTTCTTATTGCTGAGCTGAACCAAATGATCCGGCTCCCTAAAAAAGTATTCCCATCACCAACCCAGCGAGAGAGCGGTCCGAACCAATTCGATACGTTTGGCCAACTGACTGAAAAGGAAAAAAAATGATTCAGGAATGATTGGCATCGCTGGTTCAATCGACAGAAATAGCTACTGGACTGGACAGACGTAATAACTGCTGAAATACTTGCGGGGGAAACGGTTCTCAGGTCAGTCGAAGCGCAAGCACAGTGCGTGCAGCTGCAGGCACCACTGGTCACAGTTGTTTGTCTTTTGTCTGGCTTTCTTTGTGTGTACCATTTGATGACGAAAATGTGTTATGCACACAATGTTTACTAAGCCATGACATTAGGCATAAAATTTTTAATTCGTGAGGGGGCACCCGGATTTGAACCGGGGACCTCTTGATCTGCAGTCAAATGCTCTACCACTGAGCTATACCCCCTTCTGTAATTCCAGTCTACACAGATACCTACTAGAAATTAACCGGGGATCAGCGCAATGAACGAACGTATATTTGAGCATATTTATACGAGTATATTTGAACGAAATAGCTCCGTGATATGGTATATGCTGTCAATAATAAAAAACATTTTTTTTTAATAAACAGCGACCAAAAACATTGCATACGTCGCGATCACATGATAACAGTATTTCCGGAGTCCGGAAGTGCATAAGTAGTGGAACAAGGGGCATTGTGCACTAAATAAAACATTAAAACTGGCCTGTGTGAGGAGTGTCAATAAGAGGAAACAGTTGAGCATGTAATTCTACATTGTAGAAAATACAAGACACTGAAAGAGGTGATGGAAAATAATTTAGATTATAAAGGAGTTAGGGGTGTAGAGTCTCACTTTAAGAACAGCCTTAAGTATGACACATACTGAGCACAGGTTAGAGTTCTGTTAGTCTTTTTAAGGGAAGCTGGGCTTTATCATAGGTTATGATGGATAAGAAGGATTTTTCCCCTTCTCCCCTCCCTCTTCTTCTATACCCTGGTACGGACTTGGGCCCCGCGCTTGAGGGGGCCCAATGGGGAACGGACCGAGGAGGACCACAAACTCACACCAGGCCCCGCGTCAGCTAAGGACGGCCCTGTCTATACCCATGTCATTGTATAGAATTAGATTGTTTTTGTTATTGTTGTTGCTGTTGTTTTAAATCACTTTATTAAACCTTTAAATGACAAACAGGCATTGTCATCATTCCATTGTTAAACACATTAACAATAAATCCAAGTAGCATATCATAAACACAAGAACAATAATAATACAAAAATAAAGAAAGTATATAAATAAAAGTTAAAATATTAGCAAAACATGTAAAGTAAATTATTAATTAGACAAATGAAATGAATTTTTATGGGGGGGGGGTTGAAGTTTAGAGATTTGTAACTCACTCTTTGTCTTTAATCGTTTTATTTATTATTATTTATTATTAAGACGCTCTGTGTTTCGTTGTGAAAGCGAAACTACTTTGTTTGGCCTTCCAAAAGAGGATGATATCCGCTTCGTCATGCCTAGAGCTGATCCGTGCTGATCGCTGAGGAAATACATCAACTTCGCGGCTTTCACCGTGGACGAAGTGGAGTCCAGCCCGGGGTCGTCACATGTGGTTGCCTGTTTGGCTTTCTTTTAACAGGAAGAGGAAAATATTATTTTGTAGTGATATCAAAACCTTGTTATTACATTTAACATCCAAGAAATAACAATTGTATGTAGGTATTACAAAAGAATATTGTAATATACCTTTAATTAAATTCCTCACAACTACAGGAATAGCTTTGACAACTAAAGAAAATGGTCCAGACTTTATCAAATAAAGATTTCCTCTTATGTAAAATACACCTGTTATTCAAAATTATAACATTATGTGGAGTAAAATTATGCTTGTACAACATCTTCCAATACACCTGCACATGAAAATCAGATAACTTAAAAGGTCGTTTTAATTAATTAATGGGTCAAAATCCCATCTTAAAAGAAAATAAATTCCTCCAACACTTTGGAAAAGATGAAAAGGAACACTAAACCATAAAGACTGTTCACTTACAAACATTTGTAACCATCTATAGAATTAGATTGTGAACCTACTGTTTGATCCACGCTCCGGAACAGAATGCAGCGGTAATGCACCAATAAGCTGGTGTTTGGCTTTCTTTTAACAGGAAGAGGAAAATATTATTTTGTAGTGATATCAAAACCTTGTTATTACATTTAACATCCAAGAAATAACAATTGTATGTAGGTATTACAGAAGAATATTGTAATATACCTTTAATTAAATTCCTCACAACTACAGGAATAGCTTTGACAACTAAAGAAAATGGTCCAGACTTTATAAAATAAAGATTTCCTCTTATGTAAAATACACCTGTTATTCAAAATTATAACATTATGTGGAGTAAAATTATGCTTGTACAACATCTTCCAATACACCTGCACATGAAAATCAGATAACTTAAAAGGTCGTTTTAATTAATTAATGGGTCAAAATCCCATCTTAAAAGAAAATAAATTCCTCCAACACTTTGGAAAAGATGAAAAGGAACACTAAACCATAAAGACTGTTCACTTACAAACATTTGTAACCATCTATAGAATTAGATTGTGAACCTACTGTTTGATCCACGCTCCGGAACAGAATGCAGCGGTAATGCACCAATAAGCTGGATGCCAACCGCCGTTAAAAGAAGAAGAAGAAGAAGACCGGAAGAACATTTATGCTGATCGTAAAGACGAACCTCGCTTGAAAATGGTAGTGTAGAGCTTCAGTGTTTTCTTTTCTTTTGTTGCACTTTATAGGGTGGTGATGTGTGTTAATTTTCTGCTCTTCATACAGTGTGCAACGTGCATTTACTGTTAATAAAGTGCTTATTTGTGTTGTGCCGTTAATTAGCTAGCTAATATAGCGTAGCACAGCAGCTCATGTTTATTTATATTCCAGGACAGAATAATTAGTTATAATTTACACTTTGATGCCTCGATGTCTTATTATTTTCCGTATTTAAATGTACAAATATCAGAATTTATTTTGTTACTAAGCTGTTAGCTTCAAAATGAATTGTGATGCGTCATGGCCTTACTTTCAGTTTGTAGTCTTAACTGAAGAGACTGAAATGTGCGTTAATGTAATATGGTAACTGTCTCATTCAGGCCATTTTAACGTGATTTTTTTTTTACATCAGCTTCCTTTTATGAATGTTTCTATAATACTATGTGTTTTATGCAGAATACCCGTGGCCTGCGCTCTCAGCTGAAGGACAGTGTTCCCGTGACAGGTCTGTGTCCACAGGCGGGTCCTTATGGGGTTCAGGACTCTCTACGCAGGGGGTATGTTCTGGCCAAATAAACCTGTAAATGTTTTTTTCTGCCCCATTTGTATTCTGAATCCTTCATTGTGATGCGATCATAGGTTCTCAAGCGTAAAGAATGAGCTGCTACCAAGTCATCCATTGGAGCTTTCTGAGAAAAATGTGAGTAGAATCTAAGATTTGGCTTCTTGAGTGCATTGATAATGTACATGATACTACAAAAGACATCTAAATGATTGGGTGGGGGGGAATAATGCTCTTGCAAAATCTTGAAATGTACAATGATGTATACCATCTTAAGTACAAAAATATATTACATAAATTTTTAATTACATACAATAGTACTAATTGTAATACATTTTTTAAAAAAGTAGACTATTTAAAATATGCAAACATTAAAAAAACGAATTTTTACATCATATAGGTATCAGTTCATTAAGCCTCAGAACTTATAAAAATAAATGAATAGTCATTAGCTTAATTAATGTGTGTATTGAAACCAACAGTGCTTATTATTGTCGAGCTTTTAAGTAGAACAGTGTCACGTGCTGTAAAGGTTTATAACCAGTTTGGGTTACATTTTATTTTACTGCATAATTACAAGCAGCTAACACTGTAGTAACTGTATGTGTCCTTTAATGTTGCTCTATACTTATTTTGTAATTACAATGTAACAAGGACACCCTAAAATAAAGTGTAACACCAGCTTGTATTGTGTGAAACCAGTTTCAGCTTAACCAGGACAAGATGAATTTCAACACACTAAGGAACATCCAGGGTCTCCACGCTCCCCTCAAACTACAGATGGAGTACAGAGCGGCTAGACAGGTATTGTGAGCAAGTGTCATAAACATGTAAATTATACTGTAAACACCCTATACTCATTATGGAAGACTATTGTATTTAAAGGGGTCATATGATGCGATTTCAAGTTTTCCTTTCTCTTTGGAGTGTTACAAGCTGATTGTGCATAGATAAGATCCCTGAAGTTGCAAAGACTAAAGTCTCAAAACCAAAGAGATATTCTTTATCAAAGTTAAGACTCTGCCCGATGCCATTAGGGAAAATTCAACACTTTCAGTCCAGCTTTTCTTCCTGGAAGAAATCAGCAGAATTGAGATGTTCCTGAAACTTCTCATATTCCTAAATGGATAGAAAGAAAACAGGAATCAGTTTGCTCATACATATTTAAAGAGCTTTTAAAGACACATAAAAGAAGGTTACATATTCACACCTCACTGATCCAGCCTCCATCCTGCAGTTTAGTAAAAACTTTGTTGACTGTGTCCTTAACTGGTTCGCCATCCTCTCCTGTATCTCCTTCCTGTATTTCCTTCTGAGCTTCTAAAGCTGTGCGACACCTCTCAAACAGATGGTATTTAAAGTGCTTTAGGGCATGGTAGACCTCGGTACGACTGGCACAGACAGAGCCAACAAAGAAACTCTGCAATTGTTAAATAAACATTCCATCAACAAGTGCTCGAAATTAGTCTTCAAATCAATTTATAGTTAAATTGTATATGTGATTTGCATGGAAAACAACCTGGGAATCATCAGGCATGAACTGGTCCTCCTGCAGGGAGTTGTTGTGGTACAACTGGCCAGAGAGGCGCACAGTGAAACGTCCCGTTCGGTGAAGCTCACAGGCTTCACATCCCTTCGTCTGGACCCTTGTCATTATTACCCGCAATTTGGGATAACATTCAACCCTTTCCTTTTCATAAACGAAAATGATAAACAGACATGAAAGTAATCTGCACCACACCACAATGTTTTTTTAAACTTCACATACAAGTGACTAATAGTAAAGCAATCACTTAGAAATGTGACATCTTTTCATGAAAAAGACAGAGAGCTTACTTTGTAACGGTCTTTCCAGCGGCTCCTCTGCTTCAGGTTCTCCAGACGTGGAAGAACCAGTCGCTCATCAAAATGAAGCAATGATGATTTCATCTCCTGGGCGTATCGTTTCGTTCGCTCGCCACCTGCAGTCATTGACACAAAGTCAGATATATATACACTAACACTACCATTCAAAAGTATGGGGTCTGTAAGACTTTAATGTTTCTGAAGGCTGCATTTATATGATCAAATATATGCAAATAAAATTACATTAATATTGTGAAATATTCTTACAATTTAAAGGAACCGTTTTCTATTGTAATACAATTTTAAAATGGAATTTATTCCTGTGATGGTAAAGTTGAATTTTCAGCAGCCATTAATCGAGTCTTCAGTGTCTCATGATCCTTCAGACAACATTCTAATATGCTGATTTGGTGCTCAAGAAATATTTCTTATCAATCATCATTGTTGAATATTCATATATTGCACAGATGTGCTGCTTAATATTTTGGTGGAAACCATGATATCACATACTTTTTTCATAAATCTTAAATGAATGGAAGTTTCAAAAGTACAGCATTTATTTGAAATAGAAATCTTTCATAAAATTCTAAATGCCTTTTCTGTATCTTATAGAAAGTGCTCTAGTACTTTTTTCATAAATCTTAAATGAATGGAAGTTTCAAAAGTACAGCATTTATTTGAAATAGAAATCTTTTATAAAATTCTAAATGCCTTTTCTGTATCTTATAGAAAGTGCTCTAAATCCAGTGCTAAGAAGATAAGGAATAACTTGATGAACATACTGTAAAGTGACTTGAGGAAGCTTGAGTCCAGTACATTGATCAGCAAGGCTTTGACCACCACGTGAAAGTGGGTGAGCTGAGATCCTGTGATAACTGTAATGGGAGGGGAAATGAAGTGAGATGGGAAAATGGGAAATGAGATTTTCAAATTAACTTAAATGCTACAGGCACATCTGCACATACTGGGATTCCAAATTGTAAGCAAAACAAAAGCCAGAATCACGTGGTCTTACACTGGCGTGGAAGGTGAGAGAGAAAGGTCTTGTCTTTGGCCTCCCCCTCTTCCTCCTGATCTTCATCCTTTTTCCGTTCATCTTCCTCCACAATAAAATCCTTCAGACTGTCACTACTGTCAGCAAGTTTTTCCTCTTCGCTGCTGTTTAGAGGACTGCCGTTCTCTTCCACACTAGATTCATCATCAGAATCATCTGCTTTACTCTGCTCTTCAACTTTGTTTTCCTTGATCTCCTCTCTCTCCTCTTCTCCCTCTTCTTCTGAACCCTGCAGAAAAGATCCAATAGACAAGGTATCTAGTTATTAGCCAATACTTTTTTCAGGAAACCCCTTGGTTTCTGTCACCATGACCATTATTATTATAACAGAAATTTGTTCCACCTTACAGCTGAAACTGCTAAAGAGTGGAAATTGTAAATGGTTGAAACTTTTTCATTTGTATTAAAAGTTACTCATGGATTTAAAAAAGTCACATGAATTAGATAATTGGTGGTTGTAGAGGTTAACAAAATACATTTGAGCTTTTCCTAAACCATGTTTCATATCCATGAACTCCTCAACACAAAAAAATTCCCCATTAATTATACAATTAAAGTTATACATCATATTAGGTATTGGATATTGTACACTACTCCTAGGTTTCCCCCAATCTTTATCAAATTGGACATACACGTAGTCTGTCTTGTCGAGCTGAATTCAGAGTTAATGATTATTTAAATTGTATGTATTTATATGTATGTATTTGTATGCAATACCTCTGGACTCATAAACAAGTGGGTTCATGGGGACAACTGCATATTTTAAAGCAATAGTCACCATCAGCCAATCAGATTTCAGTGGCCAAAATATAAAGTTAACAATGGCCAATTGTCACAAAACTTGTTGGACATCTTTTTCTCTCAGTCACAAAAGACAGGATAAATAAATCAAATACATTACCATCAATATCAAAAACACGATGAACTTTGATCAACATGGCAACCTTATAAATGAATCATTATTAGCCTAATTTATTTTCAGTTAAATAAATTATGCACAAAATGACCAAATTTCAGCCCTGTGATGGACTGGCCATCACTTCAGGGTGTCCCCCGCCTGCGGCCCTAGATGCTGTGAAGGCTCCAGCCCCCCGCAACCCTGCAGAGGATAAAGCGGTATAGAAAATGGATGGATGGATGACCAATTTTCCCAAAATTTGACATACATCTGTAAATCATGCACCTGGGGTAGCTTAACATGCTAAGTTTGATGCTGTTTGGTCAAATGGTGGCACTGTAACATGGAAACGGCAGTAGCTGCATGGCAAATATAAATACTTAATTAAAATATATGCAAACACAAGTGTTTTACTAAGGACTAAAGTGGTTATGATGCTTGACCCAGAAAAGTGCTGCTTGCTACTATTGTACTTTTTCTTGTTCTGTCCTTATCAACTTACCAACGTCCTGCGCCTGCGCCGCGGGGTGCCTGACTTTCTTCTCTTTGACAGCTCCGTGAGTTTACTCTTCCTCTCTCTTCTCTTGGCAGCAGCTTCTTTCAGTTCTGCCTCTCTCTTCTTCTCCCTCAGAGCCTCGTCCTCGGAGTCCTCCGGCAGCCTGAGTCGTTTTCTCTGCAACACTCTCCTGAGCGGCTCTCCGCCGACGTCGCTGGAAGAATCGCTGGAATCACTGTCATCTAGCGGACGAGCGCTGGCGCATCTTTTCCTCTGTCGTCGGGGCACGGCGCATTTCTCATCCGTCTCGCTGCTGTCATTCCCGTCACTCTCACGTGCTCGGTAAGAGCTGTCGGAGGTACCGGGCTCATCTTCGGAGTTCTGGTACTCACTTTCTGAACTGATGCTCGTGGTGCTGTCGTACGAGCCCTCGTCGCTGTCATCCAGCATACGATCAATGGGATTCACTCGAGTCTTTTTCTTGTCAATGCGAGACTTGGGGGGCGGGCATTTTCGCCTTAACCCCAAAAGCTTTCCTACGCTTCTCATCATTTTTACGGAGAAAAAGTCACCCTTGATTTAACTACCCCGAGAAATTTTGTAATGAAAAAAAAAAAAAAAACTTTATATATTATAGCCAGTTATGTATCTATAGACACATGATCAGCAACAGGATGCTTGCGTGCGCGTTCTGTAAATTTACATTCCCGTCTCGTGAATGATTATTCAGCTGTTTTTCTCATACTAAATCATTGATCCGTGCATGCAGATGTAGATAAAGCTCAATCTATTGCTGTAATCAATATTTAACGAGTGGTTTGAATAAATATGCTTATCAGCATGTATCATTCTGCTGTAGTCCGCCACACGCGCCAATAACATGGGGGGCGTGTCTGTGTTTTTGTAGGTACGCACTTCCGTCGTTAGCTTCACATCAGCTGGCACAAGTGCGCCACCCAAAGACAAGGAGAATAGTTGTATCTGATTTTTATTTGCAACAAGGGTTTTATCATTGTGTAATGCTTTTGCCTTTCCTTCTTATTGTTATTTTATCAAAAAAAAAATTTAATCGTGTAAATGTGTATGTCTGTAATTTTTTTTTTGTAATATTATTTTTATTACATTTTCTTGAAACACAAGACTGACACATGTACATACCGTGTCTGTAACAATACTTACTATGTACAGAAAAGAAAAGAAAACAAACAAACAAACACTATGGGCTCATATTGCATAAAAAGTGTAAAGCACAAAACCAACAAAGGGTTAATGCAGTCTGTACTTTGGAAGTTAGATTTAATAATCCATTGCAAACAATAACAACCGCAGTTGTAAGGGGTTAATATAATGCACATTAAAATATATTTAAATACCCAATCAAGAATTTTGATCCTCTATTATATTGTTAATATCCCTACATTCAATAAATAATAAAAATGGACTCCAGATTTTCTTAAATTTAGCTTGTTTACCCTTAAGCATATAGGTTATCTTTTCCATTGCAATGCATGAAGATATTTCTCTTAACCAATGAG